ATATAGTTGCATTCTCTTAATGAATAGAATGATTTGTTCTAATGGTGTTTGTAAATAGGATCACAAGTCCACTTCTTGTACAGCAATTAACCACTAAGAAGAATATATTTAGTGTATTATTTGTTGAAACTGTACTTCTGATTGGATTTGAAACTGTCTCATTGCTATATGTTTATCAATAAAACTTTGAAAAAAAAATACATATGGGCATAATAAATGCTACATCTATTTAAATTATGAAGTTATTGAAGGAACCGAAAAGGTAACCCCCCCCCCCCAAAAGGGCACAAAGCTTAAATACTAAATAGAGGTGGGAAGTTAGGTGACAAATTCAAAAAGTGAAAAACAACTTCTAAGAGCTATAGTTTTCAATTTATAATTTCCAGCACATCATATTAAATCATATCATAGGCTGTTTAGAAAAAAAACCTGTGGGGCTGGGGAGATAGCCTGGTGGCTGAAGTACCTGCTTGCAAGCGCAAAGACCTGGCTTCCATCCCTGGCACCACATGCTGTGCTAGCCCTGTTCCAGGCACGCAGACCATCCCCGAAACTGGGGTAGGAGGCACACACTTGTAATCTCAGGGATGGGGAGGCTGAGACAAGAAGATCACTATGAGTCAGAGCTGTATAGTGAGACCCTGTACATTAAATAAATAAATGATATAAAAATACTTTAAAAGAACGACCTGTGTTTACTGACCTGTATGTTCATATTTATGTCTCAATAATGAGCTACTCTTCTGAAATATCTTATCACACAAGTCACAAGCATACATTCCATTTTCTGTCTTCCTCATTTTCTTTTTAGGTGGTGTAGAATCAGAGTCATTCTGATCTTCCACATTGGATACTCCTTCTGAGCTAGTGTCTTGCCTTTCGTCCTAGGGAAAGAAGATTTCAAATTAAAGTTAAATTGAATTTCAAACTAAAAGACAATAAATATAAACAAAGTATGGGTTAAAACTTTGATTTATACTTCCAACAACCTGACTACAACCAACACAATGCTCACAGGCTTCAAAGGCAGGGCTAGATTGCAGGTTGATACAGATGAAATAGTCACAGCTGTACGGTTCATTGGTAAAGAGAAGAAGGGACACCAGAAAGAAAGAATGTAAAATGTGCAACAGCAAAATTTACATGGCTTATGACACATCTGCAGAAAGTTTTAACCTAAGAGTTTGCTAATTAATCACTGATTTCTAACTGCATTATTTACCTTTGTTTTTGACTTTGGATTTCACTATACAAAAATTAAGATTCAGTTTTTGAAAAGTGGTCTTTAAATTACACTTTTCAGAACTTCTAAAGTCTTTTAAGCAGCCTCTGTTATCTCCCTAAAAAGAGGTTTGCTCTACACATTCAATGGTGTGAGATGAACAACTACATGTGAGGGTCTATGTGGTTAACCAGTAGCATTTATCAAAAGGAAACTCTGAGGCAAGCAGAAAGAATACCAGGCAGTCTTGCTGAAATATTCAGCAGGGGGCTCAGTTGTGGATAGAATACTGCCTGGAGCCCATTACAGAATTAGGACAGCTCCATTTTCTGTGCCCTTTTCAGAGGCTCCCACCCTACTGCCTTTAAACCTACAAATTTCCTACATGGTCAACTTTTCCCAGACCTCTCTGACTTCATAAGGCAGGAGAGAAGGAGTCATTTATCTGGGTCATTTGTGTGCTGTCATGGATGCTGAAGGAACACTACTTCCTTGTACCTGATCTAGTCACGTGATGACGTGAAGCTAGAAGTGGCTCTTCATTATATTCAAAAGTATGCAAAGTGTTCCATACAATGAAAATTAAGATGAGTTCACTGATCATGTGAAAGGTTTTTATCAAGGTTTATTAAAATTTCAGGGAACTCAATCAGTTGTCACCCCAAGGGAGGATAAAAGGAACAAATACATTGTGAGCAGGATATTGATATTAGAGTTGGTACTTACTATAACAAGTATTTGCTTTAAAGATCAAATATTAATTTCTTGTATTCATTTCATTCAACTGGAAAATTGTGGGGAAAAAAGAAGACAGACTCAAGGTTTGTGATGTGAAAAAATCCTGGACACTGAGACAAAATACCTACACAACACAGCTGTATCTGAAATCTTGAGGTTTTGCAGAAAGTTGAAGAGGAATTCATAGCCACTTTCCCAATATAGTAATTACGACTGAAAACTGTTTATTCATAGTTTATGAAATAATCAATACACTAACAGGATGATTTCTACAGATACTTCTTATTTCATTAAAGCTTTTTATAAACAGAGGTGTTAGTACAAAAAAAGTGATAGCTGAGTCTGCCTGGTGTGAACTTATAAAAGGGAATATATTTTCATTTGTTAATGATCATAATTAGAGTGCAAATTTATTAATTTGGGGGAATTTAACTATGTAAGAACAGAAATCTAAATAATGAGAATCCCAATTTTCCTTTTCTCTTTTATTTCTAATTTTAAATAGGTATCTATGAAACATACAAACCCTTTTACACATCAGAGTGACATTTTAAACTTTAGTTGATAATACCTTGAAGATATATCACAAAAATAAACATTGATATATTCCACTTCTTTACTTATTAAATTTACTTGTATAATTTAGAAATATATAATGATCATATTTTTATAGGGAATTTGTACCTGGGTGATATATGTTGATTCCTCTTTCTTTTCCTCAATCGCTCTCTTCCATTCAACCCTTCTTCCCCTCCTTATTTACAAAAGCTGTGTTTCCATTTTATCCTAGTGCACACCTGTACCCCAGCACTTGGACGGCTGAGGTTGGGGGATTGCTTGAGTTTGAGGTCACCCTGGGCTACGTAGTGAGTTTAAGACCACCTGTATTACAAATTGAAATCCTCTCTCAAAAACAAATGAATGAAGTTTACCCTTGTCTATTCCTTTCAAGTATGACAGTTTCTGAAAACTCAGCAGATCCTATGACAACTGAGATTTTCTAATGAAAATTTTAACTGAATTAGTCAAGCTAGCATTTTACAAGTGTATAGGCATATTTTTACCTGATTTCCATTTGGCTGAATTACTTTCAGGGGTGGTTCCTGGACTGCAGGGCTGACTGTAGTCGAGTATGTGTAAGCCACCTGGGGAATCAGAATAGTTTGCTTATTGGCAGCTAGCGCTCGTAAGCATGGAACACTGTTCTGGTCTGCAATGGCCACAATTGTGGGTAACTGGGCAGTGACTGTAGGTATAGCAATATTTATGGGGTTGGCACTTGGTGGGATTACATTTACAATTGGTTCTGAGTCTGTAACACAACTGTCCTTTTGTGGCTCCTTTTTTGCACAAGACAAGTTCAAGGGTTCTTCTTGGACAGAATAAACACTGTTCTGGTAAACACTAGTGATAGTTGACCTTTCCAACAATTCTCCCTGTTGCTTTGGTAGTGAAAGATCAAGAGGTTCTACTTGTGGCTCTTCTTGTGCCCCTTCAGCTGGGTATGGATAGCCCTGTGTGTTTCTGGCTGAGGAAAGGTTCAGAGGTGATGGGGATGGTGTACCACTTCTAGAGCCATTTGCGGTTGAGCCCACTGGTAGAGCTGGAGAGTGAGCTGTCTTCAGAGGACTCTGTAGAGCTGTTTCGTTGTCCTGGGCTTCATTTGCATTTGTAGACTGTGGCTGATCATCATTTTTTGCAGCAATATTTACTTTGCCTGGTTCAGGAGAAGATGGTTCAGAAGACTGCACTGAAATCTGTCCAGTTTGCATCTTTTCAAACCACTTTTTAACTACATCCAGTGGTAGGTTTACAGAGTCAGCAATTTTTGAGAGCTCTTCTGCACTTGGTTGCGCATTCAAAGCATAATAGGCTTTTAGGAGAGACAAGAGGTTCTTTAAGGGTGGCTGACTGGGAGACAAATTGCCATCTCCAGTACCTGATGAAACAGAGGACTCTGACTTCTCAGCTTCTGGGGCCGGGAGTGGAGGAGGCTGAGCAGGCTGCTTTTCATCATAGTGCTTTAATTCTGGAAGTGCATTAAGGTCGCCTGGACAATCATCACACAGAAGGCAAGTGTTATCATTCACTCCTCCCTCAAAGCTTTTGTCCTTCTCAGATTTAACAGTAAGATCTTCTGGTAACTTTTCACTTTTGCAACTGTTTGTGGGGCCTGGGTTTTCTTTTTTTAAATTTTGAGGAACAACTTGAAGTTGGCTAGGTTGCTCAAGACTGTAGTTAATGATAATTTTGGTTGTTCCATCTTGATCAACCAAAGGAAGACTGATGGCTGAAATAACAGAATGCCCACCTTGCTGTATGGATGAAGCATTGATTGTTTCTTGTTCTTTGGATGCAAGATTGGCTTGATTATTCTCCAAAACTTGCCTTATTACATTACCATCTACTGCCACTTTAAGTACATTCTGAATATCACTTAAATTGATACTTATGGGAGATACCAAACCAACTGTTGGCAGAACAACAGCTTGCACCACACCCTGAGGAGAACTGGTGGCCTGCAATGGGCCACCACCACTAAAAACCCCATTTTGTAAAGGGGTTGAACAGTTGATTCCTGAAGCAACCACTATGGGTTTGAATTCATAATCCACAGGTTCAGTTTTAATTTGGTTTACAGAGAGTTGCTCTTGAAGGGGTTTATTCTCTATTTTTTGCCGTATCTGTGGCCGTGTGGGACTTCCTGGAGATGCCGAGAGAGACGGCGAGGAACACTGCGATGTCTTGAGTCCTGTTCTTGGTCGCCCATTCACAGGCAGCAAGCTGATACATTTCTTACTGCTTATGTGTGAGCTATAGGAACCAGAGTGAGAAAAACGTTTCTTGCAGTTTGGGCATTCATATGGCTTCTCTCCTAAACAACAACAACAAAAATACATACTCATTGAATTATTACATATAACTTTTATGTATTTATATACTACCTAAAATAAGCAATCTTATTTTTTAGAAAGTCACTATATATAAGGTCACTATATATGCCTGTGATATAATTTTATTTTGAATTTTTTTTGTTCGATTTGTTTTGAATTTTAAAACTGAGAAATGACATAAATATTATAAACACTAGTACAATCTCAGTCTGAACTACACACCCTAACTCAACAATCTTCTCAGCATAGGTATATAACAGTTCACTCAACCTTTAATACTTCAAGTAATTATCAAATACCAACATTTAATCTTATTCATGAATAAATTTTTATCCTATTTCGCTAATCTATGTAATTTTCAATATTTCACTCTATTCAACCAGCTGTAGAAGAAAGTATTATAGGAAAGAAAAGTAGCTACAAACCTCATGATTTTACAAGTATGTATATCTATCCCTGATGGATTCAAGTTCTCTGCCCATATCCATATAGCTTCATCAGAGGAGGACAAAAACCTTGAGTGCAAGGAAACTTTAATATAAAGTATTGCTATAATCATTGAACTGGAATGTGTATTACGCTTCTGAATATCTACTAAAGAGGCTCTAGTAGATACACTCTTGGCAATACGCAAAGCATGCTGGAATCTTGGCCTCAGTGATGGGGGTGTGGTGAATCACATAAATGCTTGTATGAATTGCCACAAAAAACAACATGAAGTCGAAAAGTGTCTTGTTTGTGAAGGCTTCCCAAGGACACAGGGCCTTTATTCTCCTTGACCATCACAGATACTCTGGCAATTTTGAAAAGTACTGAGCTAAATGAAATGTTTTCATAGAAGCTTATTTTCTCACTTTAGTTAAAATTTATAGTTACAGTTTATTACTTCTACAATTTATAGCTTAGTATCAGCCCCAATAAGGTGAGGACTTCTGGATCTTGTCTGCCATTTATCCCTTGCTCCTATCATCACAAAACAGGTTAAAAAATGCTTGTTGGACCTTTTTAGAGGAAGGACGACTAACTATAGAATTATGAAATGTGATACTGACTTGCCTGCTCGTATTACAAAGTTCTTTCTTTTTAAGAATAAGAATGAAAGCAGTGAGGAAGTGAATGTAAGTACTATTAATAATGTAAGTTCCATCCTGCAAAGTTTACAATGAGTTATTTTCTCAAAAATACAGTATTAGAAGAATCAGATACTAGAAACAGATCTAAGAAGCCCTTTAATAAGCCTCTTTTCCAACAGATGATTCGTTTTATATTATTATACAATGCTTAAACTCCTTAGTAACGTGGATTAACTGCCTATAGGATAGTTCTATAGAAGAGTGTCTGGGGTGGGTCTGTAGGGATCAAGGATGTGGGTTCAAATTCTGGCTTTGTCATATACTATTTTCTTAACCTTTTGAAGCCTCAGTGTTGTGGTATGCAAATGAGGACTTCTGAATGGATTTTTCTAAGGCGTTATCTGAGCAAACTCATATATAGGAAACTCATAGTATGTTTGAAATAAATGTTAGTGATCTATAAACAGCATTCAAACATTCTTTGCAGGATGTGATTTTCAGGACCTTACCTGCTTGTTAACCCACCTCTGGGCTACCAGTATCAGTTTATCAGTATCTTTCCAGTGGAATGCCTGGAATAGGATTCAATACTCAAAATGTCATTAAAGTGTCCAATGGTGATAAAACAAGGGATATATTCTAGGGTATCTCTTTTAATATTTTAAACTACTTAATAACATATTAGATGAGTATTTTCCTTTGTAGACTATTTTATCTTTACAAACAAGGAGATCAAGAGTAATGGGAAGGCAGGAATCAGGACGCCACCACTGGCGCTACAGTTTCACCATGTACTTATTAACTGAGTGAATTTGGACAAGTTAATTGAACTCTTAGGTGTCCATTTTCTCCACAATAGGGAAATAATATAAACTACATCATAGGATTATTTGAGGACTATAGAAGTTAGTGTATATAAGGAACTACTGAGGTAAGTGGCTATAAATAAATATTTAATAAATTCTAGCTATCATTATTTTGATTATTTGGAGTTACCTTGATATTTTATCATTGCAAGTAAGTTTACAGACCATTCTAATATCAAAATTGTTATGTTAGAAAAGTCTTAGTTTATAATTTCAGTACGGTATGGTTTATAGCTTAACCCCATTGCATAATTTATTGAGTTTAAGGTTTGCAACTAGTTTCATCTGAAGGTTGTATCAGTAAGCTTCACTACTCCAAGTTAGAAATAACTTTAACATTGACAGTTTTTTAAATGGTTAAGTAGGTACTTGGTTATATCTGATGTAAATATTTTTCAGGCTAAATTTACTAAAGTGACAGAACAAAAAAAATATTTTCTGAGGAGGACCCTCAACCACATGCAAGTGTTCTTTTGTTTCCCCTGTGAGAGGAGCTATAGAGGCCTTTTTGTCATAGGTTAACTCCTACAAGCAGAGCTCAAATGACCATTAACACACTTGCTCATGGGTAGCCAAACAGAACCACACACAGACAGTTATAGGAATGTAAGTTTGGATCCTGATTCTCCACATCTTTTAAAATCCCAACTGAGAAAAAATAATTCCTGAAACTCCCTAGAGGCTATGCAGTTCAGCCACTACTAGTTATTCTGAATAGAATTTTTCAAAGTACCCAGGTCCAGTCTTATTTTTAAAATTTCAAAACTCTATCCTTTTGTAAAACACAATGGGAATGTCACAATAGGGTCCTGGTAAATAGTTTTTAATGCTTAGTTTCAAATCTGTTTTCTTTAAGAACCAGTTTGTAGCCTGGCATCAGTCCTGGGCTGATGTTTGGAGGAGCTCTGCTTGAAAACCTTTCTTTAGGATAAACCAGAGCATCAGAGAACGGTAGACTCAGAAGAGTTCAAGTGGCCAGCCTAGAGGAATGATTTATCTGACTTAGAAAATTCTATCAATTTTATATCACATATTATTTTAATGATATTTCTGAGGATATCATAAGTTACAGTTTTTTCTTTTTTATGATGCTTCAAAGACCAACTTTTCTGTAGACTTACTATCTGGAAAAATAGTCTTATTTTTTCCTATGTCATTGTGAATCAGTTTTACCTGCTGTATAAAGCTATACAAGCCTCCTAGTAGATAATTTCTAGAATAAGAGATGAGCACATAGTAATGGACGATGGAAAGTGCAGTGGGAGTATTGCGTTTCATGATCTGACCTAAATCCACACCAACTGTCCAGTAGCAGCACACTGTTAGCTCATATTAAGTTAGTCTTGATGACCCAAATTCACTACTTGACTGAGATTGATTTTTGAATAAAATTCAGGATTTTGCAATTAAGTTTCAAATTCTTGTTTCTAGACCAGTATTGCAAGTTTTGGTATAATCTATGCTTCCAAAGTTTGTATCATCAAAACTGATCAGGAGATAAACAACTTCAGAGGGCAATATAGGAGGTTACTACTTTTTCTTTGTAAGTTTTAAGTAAAATCTTGAAAGAAATACAAATATAGCCTTCACTGTTTATCATGTTTGTATATTATGCTATCCACATATTCATTTTATAATTATTTAGAAAATGATATGGACTATAAAGTTGATGGAGAACATATTTTTCTTCTAAATACACATTAATGCTATAGTTCTCTCCACCCTTACGTTGCCCTAACTCACTGATTCAGTATCACCTCTCTGATGTTCTTGATTTTATTTGCCCTTTTTATGTAATGGCTATCTTCACCTCATTTCCTGTTGCAAATTTCACCTCAACACAAAAGAAGTAATGAGATTACATTCATTAGAAAGCTAAAATGATTCTATTTATACCTGTTAAAACATGCAATAGTATATTTTGGTTAGGAAATCTGCAATGTCATATCGATTTGATATATGTTAGTCAAAGTTTAAGATCCTAATAAAATTTATAAACAAAATTTCTCCACATTGGTCTTTACTTTAAAAGAAAAGTATTTTGATTATGTATGTAAGTCATATGATGCAGTAGACTGCCACAGATGTTATGATATTCAGGATGGAGAAAAAAAAACACGAATATTTACCACTGTGAATTCTTAAGTGCTCTTTTAGGTGGTGTTTGTATTTGAAAGCTTTTCCACATTCAGTGCACTTGAATTTACGATTACCCCCAGACTGTGTCACATGTCTCTGTAAGAAAGAATTGGTGTTTTATTTGTAAAGCAAAAAAACCTTCAGAGATAACACTCACATGTTAAAAATATTTTCAGTGAGTCTGAGACTGTTTTGGTTTTCAAAGGCTTCTAACTGTAGTAGTCATAAAACAGTAACAGTTGAATTATACCCCCCCAAAGATGGTGATACAATTCTGACAGAAAAAGCCCCATGCTTTTTAATTTAAAATACAAGAGCCACACTATAAAGCAGTACAACATTGAGTTTTTAAAAAGCACAGTTCTCTTTGCTAGGAACTGGAGATGGTCTTTTCTACATTGCAATTTACAGGTAAAGAAATGAATAATCTGTCTAAAGTGCAGTTATTTCATAGAAGAAGGTCCTGAACAGGAGAAAGGGCTGAACTTTTCTACTACTACATCTTATCTCTAATATGGTTGGTATTTCCAAAGTGTACTTCAATCTAATGATTTTTAAAAACACTTTTATCTTTGGAGTCAAATGTAGATTTTTATAATAGTTTTCTACCTGGTTTATCAAAGTCTCATTTTTATATTTTTCAAATATATTCTGCATACTGATTAGCCATGAGAGCACTTCCTGGATTGTACTGTATCAAATTCCTGCTTAGAAATCTAAAAGGTCCTCATTATTCCTGCACAGTGATCCTGAGTCCTGCCCTACTCTATGCCTGTTCTTCAGGACTTCTCCATAAGAAACCCATGCCTTGGTCAGTCAGTGATTCAGCCTTTTGCACATGCATGCCTCTTCTCTACTTCCTTGATGTACTGTACACTATTTTTATTCCCCGGGTACATTTACTCTTCATTCTATTAAGGTCCCATCAATTCTTCAATGGCTTAGCTCAAGCACCACTTATTCTGAGGCACCCTAGCAGGGATTCCCCTTCCTATTTTTTTATAGGAAGAGAAGAGACTTCAGTCTCTAAATATTCATATGTCACCCAAGGTCAAGGCTCAAGGTACCAAATATATGGTGACAACTCTCTAGTGTATCTCCTAACTTCTCTCTTGTCCAAACTCACATGGCCAACTACGTATCTGAAACTTAATATGATTAATACCTAACTTAATTTCTCTCCAGCAAGTCCTCTCTTTCTTTAGTGTCTCCTATGTTTCTGGAATATCACCCTCACCTATTTGTTTACTGCTTAGTGATTACTTTTCAATTCTTTCTTTTCTGACAATAATCAGTCAGCAAGCCATCTGGATACAGATTGAAACCAACATACTTCACAGTCATGTCTGCCCCACAACCTCTGGCCCGGATTACAGCAAGACACTCTAAATGGTCTCCTTGCTTCCCTTCTTGTCTCTTTTTACAGTCTTCATCCAACAGGGTTCCCTTAAAAAATTTAAAAATCTAGTATCCTTCAAAGGCTTCCCTATTGTATTTTAGGATAAAAGTCTTCATCCTGCTCTCTATAAGGGCTCCTATTATGTGGGCACAGAACCGCTCTGGTCTTACTATCTTTCCCCTTCATTCACACTGGCTTCCTTGCTGTTCTGGGACATGCCAGGCAGGTCTCTAATGGAAGGCTTTTTAAAGATTCACTCTGTTCCCTTGGACTGCAAAGCCCACCCCCAATATTCCATGACACTCATTCCATGCTGGGCTCAGGTCAGATGTCCCACTTCTCAGGTCTCTGTAAGAACTGTCCGCTTTCATCATTTTCTAGCTTCCTACTCTTGTATTTTTCTTCACACTACCTGTTTCTTACTTTTTTTGTTTATATCATTCACTGACTATGCTGCCTTTGTCAGGACTCTGTCTTTGCATGCTGTTCCTTTATCACCTAGAACAGGTTTTGACTCGTAAGAGAAACTCAAATATTTGTTGAAAGAATAAATTGCTAAGACATAGATGCACTTATGCATTAATCATAAGTTTTCAGTGGCCAGCAAGATAGACATTTGACCCTTTCATTTGCTGTCTCACCATCTAATTGCTTCCCTGACTTCTAAGGTACATTTCCTCACATTACTGATCCCCATATTTATCACAGCTCCTTCCTGACTTCCTCTGATTCACAATTTTTATAAGCCATGATAAAAGATTAGTGTTTATATTAAAAATTGTAGTGAAGTAAAAATAACTTTATTGCCACGAGTTCCCTTGCTTCAGGCACACTTATTTCATCATTGTGAAGCAGCTCTGGAAGCATTCTTTTGTACATGCCACTAGATGTGCTTTTCTGCTGCCTCGATGTCCTTAGGTGATTCAAATATTTGTCCTTAATAGTGATTTTGACTTTGCAGAAGAACCATAAGTCACATGGTGAATAAGTTGGAGGAGAATGTACTATGATATTTTTGAGTCCACCTTTCAGTTAGATGGTGCTTGGCAGAAACAGTCCCTGAATTTTTGATCACACCTAATAAAGACACTCACAAAAAGGGCTTCCTAAAGCCCTTCAGAAAGTGTCAAGAACTGTGGGACAAATGTTTGAAGAGAGGAAGATTACTTGGATCACCCCCTGTATATAAAATCTGCTACATACCTATCAAAAAAAATCATCACAAAGTGAGCAGCCTTCATGATCATCAGAGATTCCAGTGGGTTTTTTTTAATGCCATCTTCTGCTCTCATTATATGTCCTTTCCTTTGATAGGGCCTCTAGTACAGTGAGAATGTGGTCACAGCTTGTAGGAGGGTGTGCCTGCCGTGAGCAGCGGTCATTCCTGGTCCATGTACACTGTGGTTATGTAGGACACATAACCAGTGCAATGCACTGGGAAGGGAGTGACATCTGTCCCAGTGGTCCCTTCTTGTCAGCTTCTTCCTCTTGTCAAGAGCTCCTTCAGGGACCTACACACTAGACTGTGGTTGGAAATCTTGGTCCTGCTTTCGCTTATCTGCCACTCTCCTCCACACCATTTTGTTGTTTATTGCCCAAGTCCTGAGGAAACATTCTTTTTCTGTTCTACATTTTTGTCTGGGTTAGTCAACCTCCTTAGCAAGGGGTCTAGCTGGTTCCTTGGAGGATATGTAACTTATACTAGGTACTTACACAGGGCAGTATTCCCACAAATCAGTGTGTAGGTATTAATAATACTCTGACACAAGAAACTGGACTCCAACCCCACCGCACACCATGTATGACCTAGTATTTGACAGTTAAATCAATACTAATATGTTGCTAGCTGGTAGTTATAAGGAACTTATAAACAAGGACAATTGCTAATTTTCTTTATTTTAAACGCAATCAAGTGTTTTGTTTTGTCTTTGTACCAGGAACCAAACTCGGGACCTATGCTTGCCAGGCAGGCACTTACGCCACTGAGCTGTATCTCCAGCCCCAGAGTTGAGTTTAAATGTAACTTAATAGTTAAAAAATGCTCTTTATTTATGCATCTATGAAATGGAGCACAGATTATACCATTTGAAAACTGATGGTAAACTTTATATTTTCAAATGAGGCAGATTCCTTTACAATAGGAAAAAGAAAACTATAGTAGCTTATCTGAGCCTAAATAAAGTAGTTACTGGGGTAAAGAAAACTGTATTTTAAAAAACGCTTTCTCAATTTGGTTAGTCCTAAGTCTTATGATTTATGTAACCAATATTTATTTTCTCACAGTGAACATTTCAATAGGATGCAATTTAAAATCTTCTAAATTTGGAAAAACATTATGAGATAAGTAAAATAATCAAATAAAAATAGAAAGGACATTTCCTGGAAAAGAAAAATGTAACTAATCATTTTTATTTTTCATTTTTATAATACTACAGAGAAGACAGTGTCTACTACATCCTTTTAACTCTTTTCTTCCCCCAGTACTGGGGTCGAACTCAAGAACCTGCGCTTGCCAAGCAGGCGCTTAGGCCACTGAGCTATATCCCCAATACCCCTTTTAACTCTTAAATATACTAAAATCTTTGACTTTAAGCATTAAATTTCCAAAATTTGAGGCCAGTAAATCCCTGGTCATTTCACTTACTTGATCTCTTCCTGACTTATGTGACGTCATGTGGCGTTCAAGTTGGGTTCTGTATGCAAAGGTGTAACTGCACAGGGAGCAACTAAAGTTATCTTCATTTTTTTCATGGCGATATTTAATATGTTCTTTTAAAGAGGTAAAGCGTTTATAGCCTCTATCACAATATGGGCAGGTGAGTAATTGAGAAAATGCATCTGGCGTTCCTGTAAAAGAGATTGTATATTATAAACTGAAAACATTCAGAATATATTACCAAAGTTATCACTAAGTCTCTATGAGAAGTGCCAGATATTATGCTATTCATTTTGTATTTGATCCTCAAAATAATACAGTGATATTCATTTCCATTTTACAGAAGATAAAATATGAAATGCAGAAAGGTTAAAAGGCCACATAGTCAGTGACTGATGAAGCCTGATTCAAACACAGGATGACCTTCAAGTTCTCTAACTTTTCCACTAAATGAAAGTTCTCCCTTCTAACTGTGGCTAGCTGGACAAGGAAACAAATAAAGTTAGGATACAGGCTACATCTACAAATATATACATATTAAAGAAGGAACTATACAATAGAATCTACAACTTATTGGTAACAATTATATCAACATTTATTTAATGTTTGTTATGAATTTGAAAAGTAGTACACAGATTGTTTCTGAATTTCCTCAATTAGATGTGCCCCAAAAGAATGTATATATGTGGGGGTGGTGATAGGGCCAGATCTCGGATTGGCCCAAGACCTATGAGACATAACTCTTCATGTTTTTTCCTCTAAGTGATAAACTTTCTATATAATTTTATCTATCTATCTATCTATCTATCTATCTATCTATCTATCTATCTATCTATCATCTATCTATCTATCTATCTATCTATCTATCTACCTATCTATCTATCTATATCTTTCATAAAACAAAGACATCTCCAAGTGCTCATACACATACATAGTATTCCTTTATTGGCGATCAAGTCCATATAAAGTAAATGTCCTACTCAAACACCAGTCTTCAAATCACAGAGTGAATGCCTGAGCTTTAAATAGCTACTCAAATATGTCAAAACACACCACAAATATATTAATTTTGGAGTTTTGGATCCAAAACTCCAAAATTAATGATAGCATCTTTTGTTACTAGCTAGCAGGTCAAACTGAGCTAGAGGGGTTTGGAATGACCATCTTATTTGCAAAAAGAAATCACATCAAATTTTGTCCAGTATGATTTTCTATTTATACAGGCTGGCGGAAGTCAACGCCAGGCTTCGCCCTGCCCAAATACCTAATCCATCTACTGACTCAGCTTGTTCTAACGGCAAAGGCTAGAGTTGGCCCTGGTGGTAATTTTGTTGGTGGCACCTAACTTTGATTCCTTTAATTGACATGCTCCTCCTGCCATGTCAGAGCTATCTGCTCTCCTTTGTTCTATTTTTTTAGTCTTCACAATTAATCCATATAGTTAATTAACAAAATATTAATAATTTGGTAAAAGTCACAGGTTGCCCATAATACTTTAATAGCAAGTTGCTGCTATAATAATTATTATTTTATTTACTGGGAATCAAACTCAGGCCCTCTGTGCTTGCTGTGCTACTGAGCTACATCCCTGTTTTTCAAGTTATTATTTTCATCAATCAGTATTTACTAAATTTCCATGTGAAAATTCACGTCGGATATGAATATTTTAAGATGGCATAAAACAATAAAAAGTGAAACTGAATATTTGGAATAATAAAGTGATCAGGTTTAAAAAGCAAATCGAAGTTTTTTGAAAAATGTAAGAATTAATTAAAATTAATTTATAAATAATTAAGGTTTACTATGCAGGGCACATTTATTTTTTAGATTGACTACCAGAAACTTAGGTAGTAGTTCAATCTACCATAAAACCTGTATCTCACCATTTTTGAACTATAATTTCAGTAAGTATCTGACCATAAATATTCTCATTTTTGTAACAAAATTGTTTAATTTTATAGTCTAGATTTCTTTTGGTATGCAACATAATATTTCTGATTGGTAAGACTTCATAAAATAAAACTTCTGCAAAGTCTCTCATATTTGTTCCCCACTGATTCAGAATTTTTGATTATTCAACCTACTGGAGTCAGTCTGCCTATATATAGAACTTATGAGGAGACATGCAAGGAAGCATGTTTAATCCATTGTAAATCAAAAATTAAGAGCTTCTGAAGACAATGATTTTTTCAATGTAAAGTTTCTATGACATTAGATATACTGGAATACATTATTAGTCTTTAATAAAATTACATGTAAACCTGAAAGTAGTAAATAACTAAATTAGCAACATAGTCTATACTTCAAATGTTATAACAATTCAGAACAATTAGCTCCCTAGTTTTTATGTTTATTTTTTATGAAATCTTACCGAGTTGATTTAGAAAGACTAACTTTACAGGGCTTAACTTTATTAAATGCATGTAATGGAACACAGATTTTTATTCCTTTCTTTCATGAATGCTTTTAGAAGTTGTCAATATTAAAGTTTTACATATGCATATGCATATATTTTACAATTTTCTATTTCCTTCTCATTTTTATTATAATCTACTGCTTCTTTGGGTGAAACGCTAAAACGTATTCTTCAAGAATAGCAACCAGTAAGAAATGAAAGCAGGTTATGTTACGGATTTACAGCATTACAGTAACCATGAACTTTTCAAACTTTTCTTTTCAGGCAAAGAGCCTGGCAGAACTCTAATGATCTAGCTGATGCACAGTCACCTGTGGGGCAATGACCTACATTCTTTAAAAATGAACCTGTTGGGCACACTAGAGGAAATGATTCTGCAGTGTTCTATTCCTATTACCTTTGCCATAGATTTGGTTTTGGAACATCTTATCTATTCTACAATGAAATGTGTTTGTCTTTTTCATAGTTGGCTCCCAATTTAGTGATCAATGTGTTATTTTTTAATGTATTATTTACATGTATGAACATATCAAAATAAAACCCCCTTATTCTGTATAATATGTACTAATAATAAAAAAGAAAAAATTGACTATGTCACAGAGTCTATTTTGTATTTTATATAGTAGTCCTCAGTTTCTCTAACAATTTCAGTTGATTGTTTAAAAACTAAGCTAAAATCTATCAATATTGCATGGAATCATGAAAAAATAAAGCCAGATTTAGGATATTAGTAATTCACATAGTCTTTAAACATTTTAAGCATTTTACTAGTCTTGGTATAGATCTTGAATAAAAGTTTTTATTGGAACATGCTATTTTCAACTGTTTATTACACCTGGAAAGGCAGAACAACATTCTTCTCTAAACAATTTCAACACAATTTTATTGTATATACACACCAAGTGTTCACCATCAGAGTAGACTAAAGCAGATATGGGAAAACTATTATTTTCAAATCTGTATGCCTTGAACCAGACAACCATATTTTTTATAATCAAGTTTATTAGTACAATTTAGATATGCACCTATATTTTGCTTGCCAAAGGAGTAGTGGAAAAGGGAAAGGAGACAGAAGGAGAGGGAGAGGACTAGGGAGAGTAGGAGAGGTTGATGGAAAGAAGGCATTGCTAAAGGCTTGGTTACCATTTTCATCATGGCCACTGGCCTCTGGTGTGCCCTGCCTCTGGTCCTCTTCAGGTGCCTCGGGATAAATGACGGCTGTGTCTTGTTGTTGCAAGAACTCCTCAACATTAGGATCATGGTTTTGCTCATTTTCTGCATCGGAGTCACATTCATCATCTTTTACTGAAAGAAGTAAAATCTTTATAAAAAAGCAATTTTACCAAAGTTTTCCAAAATTTTTCTAAGTAAGAAATCTTTCATCTTCAGAGAATATAGAATCATTCCTAAAATTGTAGGACATATTTACTGCAATAAAAATGAGTTTTACTTTTTTTTTCTTTTGCCATCTGTGAAGAAGGGCTTTTGCTTCTCAGAAGGGAAGGGTGGCGCTGCGGGAGGGACCTGCGGCCTTTGTGTTGGGCTGCAGCCCCAACCATCTTCTTTTATACCTTATGTATTTAGTGGCTTTTTTCCCATAATTTTATTGAGAAATAAATAGCAATGAGACAGTTTCAAAAATTGGTAGTACAGTTTTAATAATTAACACATTGCATACATTCTTCCTAGTGGTTAGTTTCTGTACAAGATGCGGACATGATATCCTATTTACAAACACTATTAGAACAAATCCCTCTATTCATTAAGGGAATGTAACTATATATCTATTCTAACCATTTTGAATACACAGATACAAAATGGACATTCATCTGTATCCCCTTTTCTTGTTTAGTTCCATTATTTGAATATTATAGGTGTGTTTATTCAGCAAAATATTCTAAAACAGTCCATATAGTAGTCCACAGTAGTATTGGGTCTTCTGCTTCACTGGCAATGTCAGAAATTGTTGACCTGAGTCTCCTACAGCTCAACATAAAACCATGGCTTTACTTCTTATACTTCGTTTTTATACTTTACTGGTGGATGGTTAAGACCAAGATAAAGCAAGACCTATGGAACAAGAGTTGTGGCTTTTGGGTCTGATAAAGTCAGTGAAATCCCCTCAGGATTTATCTTGAGATCCTGTCCCTCAGATTGTAGATCCTTTGTCAGTGTCAGGCATGTGGATGAGTCACGGCCATTGCTTGGCCAATGTGCTTTCTGTGAAAGCCTGACAGAGTGTTTTCTCTCCATGTGACTCTCCTTAGGCACACTCTACATCATCGATCACTTTCCTCTTTGGCCCCATAATCTCCTTGATCAGAAAATTTGGGACACTACCTAGTTACATGATGTTATAGTACAGGTTCTCATATGTCCTGAGTCTTAAGTGAGCTTGGAAGGCTAGGGCCAAAATGTTGGCTTTCTTTGCGGCCCTCCTTTTTCTCTAATTTTGGTCTATAAACTTAGGTTGTTAACCATCCAGAAGAAAAGATTATTATTGCCATACAACCTAGGCTGTTAAGCTTAACCTCACTATCTGTCTGAGTATCAAACGTCTTAGGCATAACATGGAACAGGTATTTTTCATCAAGTGTTGATATGTTGAACTTAAAGTCCCTACAGAATATGATGAAAAAACATTTAAAAATTAGAATATATTTTAAAAATGGGCATAAAAATTATATACACATAAGTCTTCTGTTTACACGTTAAGTCCAAAAATCTAACCATACACAACCTTGGAGCAGGAGAGTCCCACAACATCCTTTTTCCGTCTCCTGCCTTCATTCACCAACCCCTTCTTTTTGAACAAGCATCTACCCAAGAGACAGCACAGCAGCAACTGGCATGTCATGACAAGCAGCCCATATTCAGAACACCAGAATGACAGGCACTCTAAGCATGAACCTACTATTACAAATTGCTATCTTCAGTGTCATTGCTTAGTTAACAGGTGTCAGTATAAATAGTCAGGGTGAGAATTATTCCAATTAAATGCTAAATTCAAAAATCTTCTGGAGATTTTCAGGATTATTTCTCTACTGGGAATTTTCCCAGAGGATCTGAAAATATCATATCATAGTGATATATGTATGACTATGTTTATAGCAGCACAACTTGTGATAGCCAAATCTTGGAAACAAGATCTCAGGATCAATGCCTTGCCCATCTTCTACATATAACTGTATGGCTTGTCACTGTCATGTTTCCTAGCTCTTCTCCTTTTCCTCTCTTAGTTAGTCCTCGAGTTCTTGTTTTCCTTTTACTTGTATTATACCTTTTTATTTGTATTTCTTCTTTTGAGTTCTTATACTAGGGAGACTATATGATATTTACACTTGTGTGTCTGGTTTATTTCACTTATGAGTATATCTTCAAATGGCATCTACTTCAATATAAAGGCTTGCAGTTTATCATTCTTTATAGCTGAGTAATACTCCATTGTATAAAAATACCACATCTTTTTCAACCATTTCTCAGGTGATGGGCATCTTGGTTGTTTCCAAGATTTGGCTATCACAAATTGTGCTGCTATAAACATAGGCATACATATATCACTATGATATGATGTTTTCAGATCCTCGGAGAAAATTCCCAGTAGAGGAATAGCTGGTTTAAATGGGATTTCCAGTCCAACTTTTCTAAGGAGTCTCCACACTGATTTCCATAATTGTTGCACCAGTCTACATTCCCACCAGCAGTGGAGAAGGGTTCCTTTTTCCCCACAGCCTCTCCAACATTTGTTGTTGGGTGATTTCTTTATGATAGCCATTCTTTCTGGGGTAGATGATATCTCAATGTGGTTTTAATTGCATTTCACGGATGGCTAGTGATGTGGAGCATTTTTTCATATATTTATTCGCTTCTTTAATTTCATCCTCTGAGAAGCATGTGTTCATCTCAGATGCCCATTTCTGGATTGGGTCTTTAAATTTTGGAGCCCTAGTGTTTTTTAGTTCTTTATAAATTCTAGAGAGGAGATCTTTGTCTGAGTACTTATTTGTCATCATTTTTTCCAAATTTGTGGGTTGTCCTTTCACTTTGTTGGTAATTTCTTTTGATGTGCAAAAACTTCTCAGTAAGAGCAGGTCCCAGTTGTTAATTCTTTCAACTGTTTCCCATGTGATTTGATTTTTGTTCATAAACTCTTTGCCTACCCTTATGCCTTCAAGAGTTCCTCCTACTTTCTTTTCCAGGACCTGTAGTGTCTCTGTTTTAATGTTTAGATCTTTAATCCATTTTGACTTTAGCTTAGTGCGTGGTGATAGACCTGGGTCAAGGTTGAGTTTTCGGCATGTAGAGAGCCAGTTTTTCCAGCACCATTTATTAAAGAGGCTATGTTTCTTCCAGTGAGTATGTTTGACCCCTTTGTCAAAGATAAGGTGGTTGAGTGTGTTCGTAGGGGCTTCAGTGTCTTCTAATCCTCAGGTCTATTTTGATGCCAGTAGCATGCTGATTTTATCACAGTAGCCTTGTAGTATAATTTCAAGCCAGGAATTGTAATGCCCCCTCCTTGTCTTTATTGCCTAGAATTGCTTTTGCTATTCTAGGTCTTTTCCGGTTCCAGATAAATTTTAGTAATGATTTCTCTATGTCTGTGAGATATGTCGGTGGTAGTCTGATAGGGATTGCATTAAATCTGTACAGCAATTTTGGGAGTATGGCCATATTCACTATGTTGGTTCTTCCTATCCAGGAGCATGGAATATCTTTCCCCTTTCTGAAATCTTCTACGATCTCTTTTTTAAGATAACTGTAATTTTCCTTGAAAAGATCTTTGACTTCTTTAGTTAGGTTAATTCCAAGGTATTTCATTTTCCTCGGTGCTATTGTAAAAGGTATTGTTTCTATAATTTTCCTATCAGTGTGCTTGTTGTCTGTGTAGAGGAATGCTATTGACTTTTGGGTATTGACCTTATATCCTGCTATGCTACTGAATTTCTGTATTAATTCTAGTAGCTTCTTGGTGGAGATTTTTGGGTCTTCCAAGTAAAGTATCATGTCATCTGCAAGTAAAGATAATTTAAGTTCTTCTTTGCCTATTCTTATTCCTTTTCTTTCTCTTGTCTAATGGCTGTAGCTAATGATTCCAGAACTATATTGAATAGGAGTGGTGACAGAGAACATCCTTGTGTGTACCACATCTAAGAGTAAAAGATTTCAGTTTTTCACCATTTAGGATTAAGTTAGCCATTGGGTTTTCATAAATGGCTTTTACCAAATTGAAGTAGAGGCCATCTATTTCAATTTTCTGTAGGACTTTGAACAAGAATGAGTTTTGGACTTTGTCAAAAGCCTTTTCTGCATCAATGGAGATAATCATGTGGTTTTTAGTTTTTGCTCTATTGATAGAGTGTATTATATTGATAGATTTTCGAATATTGAACCATCCTTGCATCCCTGGGATGAATCCTACCTGGTCATGATGTATGATCTTCTTGATGATTTGCTGTATTCTATTTGCTAGTATTTTATTGAGGATTTTGGCACCTATGTTGATGAGGGAGATAGGCCTGTAGTTCTCTTTCTTAGTTGCATCTTTCCCTGGTTTTGGTATGAATATAAAACTTGCCTTCAGGAATGATTTTGGGAGGATTGCTTCCTTTTCAATTTCATGGAAGAGTTTGAGGAGTACAGGGAGTAAATCTTCTGTAAATGTCTTGTAGAATTCAGCTGTGAATCCATCCGGACCTGGACTTTTCTTTGCGAGTAGGTTTTTAATTACATCTCTATTTCATTGGCTGTTATTGGGCTATTGAGAGGGGTTATATCTTGTCGATTCAGTTGTGGGAATTTGTACCTTTCTAGGCATCTGTCCATTTCTACTGTGTCTTCTATTCTGTGAGAGTAAAGATTCTTAAAGTAGCTATTGATAATCTTCTGAATTTCCACTGAGTCTGTGGTAATTACACCCTTTTCATTCCTTATTACTTGTATTTGAATTTTTTCTTTCCTCTGTTTTATGAGTTTAGCTAGGGGCTTATCAATTTTATTTAATCTTTCAAAGAACCAGCTTTTTGC